AGCAATTTTTCTTACGTGTACAACAAGAACAAGAAGTTGCTGTCCAGTAAAAGGTTTAAATAGAAACGAACAAAATCTAAAGCCTAGGTAGCTTTTTAAATGCGACAAAAAGGAAGAAAATTGCTAGAGACCTTTTCCTTTTCCTCCCAATCCATCTCTTCCAATAAGCTGCTACCGGAAAAATTTCTGCACAGGGCCTTTTACAAAAAATATCAACGCAACCTGTGGGAAGAGAAGAGCAAGCGGATGAATCCGCCACACTGGGGGAATAAGGGATCTGAATTGGGAGAACGAAGCTGAAGAATGAACCCTCTCCAGATACACGTACAGGTTCAGTACAAAACAGATAAATGGTAGCAGGTTTTTAACAAAACCAACGGAACGGGCAGTGCATTGAGCTCAGGCATTTCCTTCCCCAAGCATCCTCAAAGAAAATAAGGTTAAAAGAACCTGTTTTGACTATAGGATACCCGGTAGATAAAAACAAAAAACAAGGGATCTTTGGAAAAAGGTAATACAACTCAAATCATTGCCCTCTAGAAATAGATTAAGAATAGTATTGTAAATTTAAAACGTGGATGGATGGACAATCCTGGACAGTTGAGTTTATTTTATGGGATGAAGAAGACTTCCAAAACCGCGATAAAAAATTTCAAATAAATAAAATTCATACTTTTTGGACAACAAAAAAAATTTAAGAAAATATTTTCCTAAATCCTCTAAGCCGTTTGAGAAGATTTTTTAAGTTCTTAACTTCAAAAAATCACAGCGCCCCTAAATGGACACCAAAAAATTTCAAAAAAAATCAGAGATGATAACCAAGGCAAACTCTACGAGATACCCGAGTTTGGAGAAAAAATATTACTTCATATGCGCAGTTCAGAGATTCTTACCCAATTCCAATAATAAAAACAAAATACTCAACATAAATTTCGCACAGCTTAATTACACAGGTACACAGCCAAAAATTTCCACGAACCATTTCAAGTTTTCCATGATATTTGGGTGCTCCTGAGTACAAGTCCCATACAAAATTATTTTCCATCACCTACAGGTTCCGCGGTATAGCTAAGAATACAAAATACCTATGTTTGTCGACATTTTGAATTACGTGGCCTATATAATTGGACCAACCTTTATTATTTTCGGTAGGACCTACTCTCAATACATCAAGGCATTCCTAAAAAATAGTCCCCATTGTGAACCATTGCCCATGTCTTTGGAATTCGACGCCAAAGTTGAAAATCCCAAAATTGTAGAGATTTTTCTGATGGAAAAACAATTCTGAGGATTAAATCTTGAATGGAAGTAATTTTAACTATTCATTGTATCTATTGTTCATTGTATGCTTTAATTTCGGTTTACAGCGTTTTCATGAGAACATTTTATTGGATTTCTTATACTAATAAAACCGATTTTTTTATTTCATTATCTACTCCTAAATGTTGTCAAATTTTGAATAAGTCATGGCAACCTCTAAAACTAAGAAACTAAAATACGTTCACTGAACATACACAGAGAAATGTAAATGTTTACTCCCATTCTGTAGGATGCCTTGACTTTTTTAAAATTTGACAACATTTAGGAGTAGATAATGAAATAAAAAAAAACGGTTTTATTAGTATAAGAAATCCAATAAAATGTTCTCATGAAAACGCTTTAAACCGAAATTAAAGCATACAATGAACAATAGATACAATGAATAGTTAAAATTACTTCCATTCAAGATTTAATCCTCAGAATTGTTTTTCCGTCAGAAAAATCTCTACAATTTTGGGATTTTCAACTTTGGCGTCGAATTCCAAAGACATGGGCAATGGTTCACAATGGGGAGTATTTTTTAGGAATGCCTTGATGTATTGAGAGTAGGTCCTACCGAAAATAATAAAGGTTGGTCCAATTATATAGGCCACGTAATTCAAAATGTCGGCAAACATCGGTTTTTTGTATTCTTAGCTATACCGCGGAACCTGTAGGTGATGGAAAATAATTTTGTATGGGACTTTTACTCAGGAGCACCCAAATATCATGGAAAACTTGAAATGGTTCGTGGAAATTTCACAAAGTTTAATTTTGTGTTCCTGTGTTATCATTATAAAACAAACTGTTCTAGAAATAGTTAGGGCAAGCTAAAAAAAGTTATTATTTAAGAAACATAAAAGTTGATTAATCCAAAGCAAGTAGGATATAATATACCTTTTAAGTTTAAAGTACTGGGTACAAAAGGAAACCAACAACGACAACATGTAAAATTATGCGTCAGTAGGAAGGAAAACTTTATGGGGTGACCCCAGCAAAGTCGAAGGAAAAGGAGAATCTCAGACAGAGACGGTGGTCCAAGTGCATTCATTGTCCCTCAAACTCACACAGAGATAAAGGAAAATCGCAAGAGATGAATACCAGGCAGTCAAAAGGCGGGAAAGAGACAGGACAGAGCACGCAAATATGCCAAAGCTTGCAGAGACAACAAACAGGAAGTACGCATTTCCTGCACCCGAGAAAAAATAGAGAAAAAGAAATAAAATAAAAACATTCCAAGAACTAGGAATGGCTGGGGAAACATGGTGAAATCAGGGGAGGAATCCAAGCAAAGGGAAACGCAGGCGAGACACAGTAGAAATGTCGCGACGACAACTTTTTGACACAAAAGTGCCTGGAAAACAGTTTTTCTTTAGTTTTCCCAGCCAGTCGCCCTTCGCCGTGAAATTAATTGAAACTGACTAGACCTCTGGGGGAGTGAATGAATGAGGTAGACTGGCAGACTTGATCTTGACACTGTCCCCTGGCGATGTCCCTGAACTTGGCAAATACTACAGCTGCCTGCCTTTATTCTCTCTCAACATCCAAGGGCTCCTAGAAAATTTTAGAAATACGGTGCTACCTCATATTTTGCAATTTTATTTTTTTTTAGAAAATAAAATTACTTTCGTTAATTTTTTAATATAAATTTAATAAATATATCTACATATTTCTTTGAAATCTGACAGATCATAAATCTCAAATTTCTATATTGTTACATTGGATTTACTTAAATTTTTGAAAAATATACACTTAGTTAAGAACTAAACATTTAGGTTTTGTAAAAAAAATATTTAAAAAAAAAACCAACTTTTGAGAAAAAAGTTTCCAATATTTAAGTCTAAATCTCCATTGTCTTTTACTGTTTTTGTCCACTCGGCCATTTTGGCCGTCTTTCCCACCAAATGAGTTTCGTGTCACAAGTTGACCCGGCCGAGATTAAGTGGGCGTTTAATTTGCCAACTCACACCGACCTCCCAAAAACCCAAAGCCCCTCCCCGTAAATCCCATTCTTTCCTACACCCTCGTCTATGAAAATACTGCGTTAATGTAATCCACGCTCTAGGCATTTCCGTATGCTTCCGTTTGCTTTTTCTTCATTGCTTTTTATTTTTTCGGGAGTTTTTTTGTGCAGTACTTTGTCCTTGGCAGTTGCGCCGTAACTTTGCCACTTGGATGATCTCTCTCTCCCCTACTGTTATGCTATTTTAGCTTAATCAACAAAGTAAATAAAATGTCCTGGCGACTGACCCCTGGGTCGGAGGTAATTTTCTGCCATATTTTTTATGAACTCATAGTGCTTAATAAGTTACATATAAATATGTATTTTCGAATAAATTTGAGATTACTTTTTGAGCACAAATGTGGCTTACCATAAAAAAGTTGTTTGCGTAAGCATCATTTAAAATATAATTTACTTCAGGCTCTCATTTATGCAGAAGTAAGCATAAAATCTAGAGAAACTATCACGAGGAATGATTAACATTAATATTTATTGAGACCCCGCAAAGCCACCATTTTTTTTAACCATACCCCACAACTCATTAGGTTCTTTTGAATTCGCCATGCACATGTTACCATGGAAAAATCCGAACTAAATCAAGCGAATTCACTTTGATGTGCAAAAACAATATGCCTCATATGGGTGGTAAAATGGTGAGCTAAACCTCTAACCAAACTGAGAATTGAAAGCATAGCTTCCTTTTTTCACTCCCATTTTCCCTATGGCAAGGAGTAAGTTGTCAACACGGTCCCACGTAATTATAGACTTGCAGGGTTTATACAACACCACACAAACTCTTACAGCTATAGAAAAATAAATATAACTTTAAATAAAATATATTCTACTCTTTTTAAATATGGTAAGCTTAATCCTTTATTACTTACATACAAAAAAATATTTTTTAAAAAGGAAAATTACTTTCAAAAAACAAAAATTCTATAAACATAATTTAAACCAAAACTAAATTTTTTCCTTTTTTCTCAAACTGTAATTTTTATTTAAGCTTGCATTTATTTTAAACAGTTACATACAGACATCATTTAAATTGAAGAACTACAATGTTTACCACCAATGTGTCGCACATCGAGACACATTTCATTTGCTTTCTAATAATTTCTGTGGAAAATTCCGATTGCACATGTGGGACTTTATATTGGCAGCACTGTGGAAACCAATTAAAATGCTGCACTGGCTCTGATTATGGCAAACGACAACGTTGTGGGGAGTGGCGGTGTGAATAGATTGGTATGTGTCAACTAAGTGCAGTTAATTAGTGCGAAAATCACTTCAGTTGGCTTGGGATATTTTTTCCTCTCTCCGATTTCTTTTAAGCTTTTTTCGTCCCGTTGTTGTCGTTGCTGACGTTGTTGTTGCTGCCACCTCCAAGGTTTTTCCTTGGCGAATTTTCACGTTAATTGCTCGGGGTCTTGCAATCAGCCGGAAAACAGTGGCAGAAGCCGGCAAAGGCAGCTGCTTGCAAGCGAGCTAAGCCACTCAGGGATTTACTCAATTTGTTGTCACTTTATTCCACAATTTATTTCAGTTTATTTTCTTTGTTTTCCTTTCGTTTAAATTTAGACAATTATTATTTTGCGGGGATAATTAGTCATAAAAATTAGGTTGTTTGGGTAAAATTAAATAGACAAAATTACTATGCATTAAAAAAAAATTATCTTGTGAATATACTATATATTTGAGTACGATTTCATTTAAATATGGCATACAAATTTATGTCTTTATATATAAAATATTCTTTAAATATTTAAGTTGCGAAATCCCCGAGTTATTTAAACCACATAAATAAATATTAAAGCCTCAAATCTATTTAAGTAATTTACTCTGTAACTGATTTAAACCTAAGATCGGCTACAAGAGCAACATGATCTGATGGAAAAACAGCCGATGGTATGGCGGCATTGGCCTTTAACTCCTCCTCTGTTGGTAATGGAACATACTTCAATAACTCAAAACGATCGCTTTGGTAAAATATATAGTCCAAACATCCCGAAAAAAGTGTGGTATAGTGCGTAAACTCTGGTGCCCCACAAGCCGAGGTCATTTTAAAGGGCTGTGAGAGCTCTACGTTCGAAACAGCCTCTTCGGAATTACTACGCCAATCTTCCAGACTTTCTGCAGCAAGTTGCTCCGTCATCAACTTGTAAATTCCACATTCGGGAACGCTATTAAAATCGCCACAAAATATCAAACCAATATTCTGAGCGCTACCGATATTAAAATCTTTAACAGCTTTACTTATGATGTGCTCAACAAAAAGTATAGAAAATCCCATTTGCAGCAGTCGAATGTGATCGGCATCTGGATGAAAGTATAAATGCGTGTTAGCCACAAGAACGTAGTTATCCGTTCCTTTAATCCTGAGCAAGCAAGTTTGTAGAGTTGTGGACCGATCACAAATTCGTTCTGCCAATTGAGTATTAACTTTGATTTTATTCCAAAGGCTTTCGAATACGGGCAGTACTGGGATATTAGATCCTAAATGCAGAACTTGAGAGTCCAGCAATTCGAAGCGCGATTTCCGAAAGAAAACTGCAACTCCTTCCGCACACTTTCCTTTCGGGGCCATAAGGCCTTGGAAATTATAAGGAGGTTGTTCTAGTATTTCCTTTAAATCGAAATCAAAAATCCGTTGATCGACTTCTTGCAGGCAGATAAGATCCGAGTTATAACCAATAATTTCATTGATAAATAGTGGTTTTCTATAGTCTATTTGTAGAAATTTTGATGGACAATATGAGAATAGAGTTGATCCAGCGTAATCACTGCTCGCATATAAATCGGCCAATAGATTGTAGGTCACAACACGAATTTCGTTGGAGTCACTCAAATAATCCGGAGTGTAGTGGTGTCGATTTTGAAAGGGACATAGACCTGGGGCATCCTGAACGGCAGAGTTTGATACCTTTTCCATCACAGGACCATCTATTCCCTGTTTATTCCGAGGAGTTAATATAAATTTTAGGTAGTAACCCACATCTTCTGGCTTGACTAGGTATTGAAATCCTTCTCCGCAGATTTCCCAATCTAAATCGGTTGGTTTCTTAGCTTTATACCAAACTCCTTTGCTGAACTGACGTTCTCCAAATTGAATTTGAACGTTAGTCGGGTATATCACGAATCCTGCTAAAATGCAGGAAGGCAGTTTAAGGGATGAAATCCAAGGGGGATTGAAAACCATTTCGTAGACTGTATCCACCACCTGCAGCTTAATTCCGGAAAAATCTTTACTGAACAGCTCGGCAAATGTCATTTCTTTAAAATTTCCATCGTAAGAGCCGCCAAAAAGTTTAACATTTATCTCAGCAGGCGGTTTACCGGATTTTTTGAAGGTCTTCGCCAGTCTGTTTTGAATATTGCTTTGAATACGCGCCAATATAGCGTCAATGGGCTCGTTCATTTGCCGACGGAAATTAAATTCCCGGTCGATTTTTAAATTAGTATTTGCAAAGCGAAACACAATATCGAGCTCTTTGCTATCACTTGCATTCCTGAAGTACACTTTTTCCATAATGACAGAGTTAAAAGTGCTACAAAATCTGGTTAAAAATGAAGCTCTAGTCTGGGGGGTTAAACTTCTGACAATTAAATCAGTGTTGTGGGTATTGTGTCCCAAATAAACAGCTAGACCTTTTGCAATTTTGGTAAGACCCATCAATCGTCCAAGTATCCAGGACCGCGAATTAAGTAAAGATCGGTTCCAAAGTGTCGATGTCGAAGATGTGGATTCCTTTTGTTTACGTATTTACTGCCGATTTATCTAAGAAATATTTACGTTAACCAAGTTTGAGAGCTGCGCAGGCTTTGTACCAACTCACGTAGTAAGATGTTATGTCGAAAATCTAACGCTTTGAAGTTGTTTTTCACTTTATTAAGCAGCCTTTTCACATCAAAACACCACTTCCAAGGGAAGATTTTAGGGGAAACTGCTCCGATTTCGATAAAACAAAGAGAGTTTTTCACTTATTCGCTCTGCCACGCTATGATCAGCTGTTCATTTTGACATTCACCGCGAACTGAACCACATGCGCCGGCAAAGATAAACAGCTGATCTTGAAAAAGCTTTGGTCAAAAAGTCCAACGTGAAAGCTTTAATGGAGACGCTTTTATATAAAAGCGTTTCTTTGTTCAAATTTATAATCGTACAATATTATAGTTTGATAGGTAGACCCCATGGGTTTTTTTTTATTATTATTTTTAAAGTTATACAGACAAGGCAACGCACACTGGAATATGAGCCACAAAAATATAAATACTACTTTTGGACAATTAAAATTTTTTTTTAATTTTAATAAGATTTCCAGCTATATTTCATTGGTTAAGTAGTAAATATATAAACATAAATAAATCGCTGAAATTTTGATTTAAAAAATCTATTTTCCATAATGAATATTTGTTTGTGTTTTGTTAAATTTAGTGAATAGTGATTTTTTTGGAAATAGTTGTCCGTCTTTTACTAATTAAAAAAGTCTTTATTAGGCGAAACAAACGCTTCCTTCTATCTTAACATTTTCTCGACAACTGAAAGCAGTGTTCTCTGGAGAACTTAATTATTACATAAAAATACAGGTGAACTCAGCCATAAAACCTCCTATTTCACTTCAGGTAAAATTCTCTTCATGGCAAATACCATAAACATTAAGCTAAGTGTTACGATCCAAATGAGACATGCTACCCGAAAGAAACTCAACTTTTGGCCAAGTTAAGAAAGGACAACTGAGACGACGGCCATAAAAATTCGAAACAGAAGCCAGATCATATGGGAAGAACGAGCGTATTTGAAAGCGGGAAGGCAATGGGAAGGGAGCCCAAGTGCATAAAAAGCAGAAACAAGCCAAGAGATGACTTGGCCAGGGCCAAAAAGGAATTGGCTCGGCCCCGAAACAGAGTCAACAACTGTGCGCCACACAAGAGTTTGCCAAAAAAGATTGCAATACGGAAAAAAATCAAAAACCAAAAAAAAAATATACGGAAAAATCGCATAAAACTCTATAAAGGACACGAAGGACCAAAACGGATGGCGACAACAACAACATGAGGGGCCGGGCAAACGAAACCAATTGAAGAAATGTTGCTGACACCAAAAACGAAACTGCAGGAAGACGCCGATGATGAGGATGAGCCTGGGAATGAGGCTAAGCTCGAGGATGCAGAGAATATCCTTGGTGTTGCAGGGCGGCAGGAGCGTGGAGCGGAAGCGGTAAGGACAACAACGAAATTAGTTAGCACTTGAGAGAAAGCAGCTTTGGCTCAGGTCCAGGACTCGTTGCTGGCTTACAACACCTGCGGGTAAAGGAGGACTGGACTCCTTACTCCGCCTGCTCTCCGCCTTTCTTATTGACCCCAACTAGAGATGACCTAAAAGGCTCGATTGAGCACAACGATTGGGTTAAAATTAAGACATAAAAGTTGACAGAAATATATATCGTATTTTTGATTTATAAAAAATGTATATATATTATTTAACATCCGTTTTTACAGGTCTTAGAAACGTATGAAATCTAACGTTGATTATTAAAATTATCGATATTTTCGATATATTGACAATATTGATTAGATAACACCTATGTTTTAAAGGCTTTCCGTTAAATATCGAGAAATAGCAAACTGTTTATATTATTTCCAAATGGTTCAAAAATGTTGAAATATTTGTGAAAATAAATAATTCTATTTATTTTGACTATTTCTAAATTCTCAAGTTTTTAAATTCAAAATTAAAAGTATAAAAGTAAAAAAAACTGTTCATAAGGTTAGCCGAAATTCAACTGTCAAAACACGCATCGTGAATAATATTCGCGGATAATGCACAGCCACAATATAGATCGGTCATCTCCGACAAAAATTGTGAAGAAGCAAGATCTGAGAGGCAGGCAGCAATTAAATAGCTTCGAGCACTCCCAACTCAATTGCAGCAATTTCAATAACCGTTGAGCACACTCAAAGGAAGGCGAGCCCAGTTAGTCGGGCCAGCCGGGTCCTTGCGATAATCTGTCATGCAGTCGAGGAAGAACCCAAGAGCCCTGTACCCCAAATACACCCCCACACAGGATCCACTCCTCATTCCATTCACTCCGGCGACAACTACAATATCCGCCTTGGGTCTCGACACTTGAGCAACTTTCTCGCACTCACCTATTTCACTTGCTGCAGGAATTTGTTATATTTCTTCTTTTTTTACTCTTTACACTTGTAAAATTTGTTGCCGAAAACAGGGTACTGGTCTATTTCATTTGTAGTTTTGTGGAGAGAACTACTTTATATATTTTTTTGTTGATTATTTTATGATTATTGATAAAAGCATGAAACGTGACGCGGTACGGCCGAAAAGATATTACATTGAGAATTTTGCCACCAAGAAGCCGAAAATTGATGAACTTTTATAAAATTATATGTACGCTACACAATCTGATTTAGAAACACTACAACTAAAAAAATTTATTTCTATATTGAACCGATTTGACATGCTCTGAGATCTGCCAACTTCGATTAAAATATCCTACGATTTTTCTTAATTTAAATAAATACCAAAATTTAATTAAAATAAAATATCATGCGGATAAAGTCAATTTCCACGTAATATTCAATTAATTCATTCCAATCAACTCTTTCTTATGCGTTCGCCAAGTCGAACGTTTGACATTAAAAATAAATGAATCAACAAATATAAAAGTTTTGCCAAGAAAGTCATTTGCTAAAATTGGCGAATCGAAAAAGAAAGTCAAGAGGGTGAGCAACAAAAAACGCAAAGAAATTCAATGAGGCTGAAAATTTCCTGGCTCGGTGCCAATTGAAGGCAAGGAAACAAAACAAAACTTAAGTTTCTAATCAATTAAAAAATACAACAACCAGGGGGAGAAAAATCAAGAGTGGGAACGATTTTCGGCAATAAATAAATTACAACCAGGAGGCAGTCAATGCGATTAAATAGATGAAGGAGTGAAGCAAAGGGAGCGGGTGTCGAAGGAACTACGGAACTTCACTACGTCTGGTGCAATTTTAATTACGACTGCGATAAGAGCAGGACGAAAGTAATGGAAAGGCGCAATGGAAACCATTCAGGAAGATGTACAAATTCGTTTCAACTGTTTGAATTCTCAGTAAGCATTTAAAAAATTTGTATATTGGTGGTTTTAAAGAAACTATATTATACAGAAGGATTCCATGAAATAAATCCAATTTATACCAATGCTGCAGCTCAAAAATGTTCATTTTTTACGTTTGTTTGCTTGTTTGCATTAAATCGATTGCTTGTACTGCTTGCATATCCTTTTATTTGCACATAACTTTTTAATGAATAATCCGACTTAAACATTTTGATAGGTATTCATAAGCACGATAAAAAGACATTTACACTTTTAAAAAATCTGTAAATATGTGGGAGTCAGACACATTTTAAAGTCGTTTAATAAAATAAGAAAATAGCAGTGTTTCATTTTGTTAATATAACAGAGATATTTCTGTATAATTTAAGAAATAAGGGAACTAATAAACTGTCATTGTAGTGTAAAAATATATTAAGCTAATGTAGTTTCTATAGAAGGAATATATAAATTTTGTTTAATTAATTAACCTTTTTTCTTACAACTACAGGGTATAAACAAGGCAAAAAGCACTAGCTCAACTAATCCGTTGGCAAAGTCTTTGACAGTTGTCTTAGCTTGCACAACAACAAACAAGAAAAACAATAACATCTTCATCATCATCATAGTAATTTCCAGCATTGTGGGGTGAAAAAGCACAATAAACAAAAGCAAACGAAGAAACAACAAACATTATCGCACATCATTATCGTTGTCATTCAGGGAGCGTTCCAGCTTAAAAACCCAACCCACCCCACCAGCCTCCTATATACACTTATATAGATATTTGCTTTATTTTTGTGTTTAGTTAGTTTTTATGAGCGTCATTATTTTCGCTTGCCATGGCGCTAAGCATCTTAAGTGGCTCCTCCTCCCGCATTTTCCACCATTTTTTGGTCCAGCATTTTCCCTGTGTGTGTTTGTGTTTGTATAGGCGCAAAATGTCTTCGTCAACTTTTGACGATTTTATAATTTAACTTTTCCCGGGAGCTGCTGCTGCTGATGCTGCTGCTGATGCTGCTGCTACTGCCTTCTTCCTCCTGTTTTTCCTCTTGCTAGTTTCGAAAACAACTTAATAATAAGTGAGTGTTGAGTGGTGGTTAGAGAAAAGTTGACTTGGTTAGAGGAAGATGGCTGCAATTAAGGTGGCTGTGTGATTTTCTTGGGTCTTTTTGGGCTAGGCAATTACTATAAGGAATTCACCATGGTGTGCTGCATTTAGAAAGTTTTCAGTGCGGAAATAATTGTCAAGGATAACCACGGCAATTGTGAGGAAGAAATTGTGAACTAAAAGGGAGAACCATTGCAAGGATCATTGTTTTTAGTAAAGTATGCCCTTAATAGGGGCATTAAAATTTATATATGTACAATTTTTCTGATAATTATAAGGAACCATAAAATAAAAGATATTTAAATATTTTAAATATTGCTATCTAAAATAGAAAAGGCTTTCAATTTTTGTATTTTCAAATCGTAATGTA